CTGCTCTGTGACAGATCGACTGGCTCTCAGCAAATAACGAAGAAGGCGACAGTTTTCTTTTGTACGGCAAGCATTGCATTAAAAACTGGGTGCCATATTTAATGCAAACAAAATATCATTACATTTCCTATTTACTCAAATGAAACGAGACAAGTGCGCGTAAATTACTTCGGAACATTTCTATGCATAACGCCTTGTGGTACGCTTGTACGACTTCGATGTGCGAAGCCCTTTTCTCCCGTGGCACTTGGATGCAAATGGAGGCGAAGAACGGGCTCGTGGCACGTACCTAACAAGTTCGCATAAAAGAATAGATTTCGGTAGTTGTAAGAAATGCCAAGCGTGAAGTTTATGTATTTATTTTTAAGTAGGGCTCCGTGTTTTCGGCGTTTATTTTTCGTGAAATTCGGAGGTTGTTTTTTGGATTTTATTTTTGCCGAAGATTCGGAGTTTATCGGAGTTTATATTTTTTATTCCCAATTCTCCGAAATTCGGAGTTTAATTTCGCTGTGTTGCCTATTAAAAATAAGTAAATAAATAATAACCGAATGTAAACATATGCCAGATAAAAAAAGAAGACGCTCTTGTATCAATTGAAATATTTTCAGTTGAATTCGGCGTTGGTGCCATTGCCATTGGCAATACTAATTTATCCATCGGATTTAAAAACAGCGCGAAAAGACGAGGACCAGACAAAAAAGTGACAGGGACGTAGCGCTGTTTATCCACGACAAAAGTCACACACAAGTGGCACTTGGATAAACACCGATACCTTAAAATCAATAAACTCCCGGAGGTAGTCGCTAGGAAGCTCGTAGTCATCCCATCCTATTCCATCAATCTAGACCACGGTTGCGTGAGGTGAAGTGGTTAAGGAGGTAATAGAGAGCTTGAACTGCCCCTCTTCCAAATTTTATACAATCCCTATGGTCCATAGCTTTGAATGTTACTAAAACGTACCCTTTCCTTTCTCTAAATCACAAATTGCATGACCCAAACCGGAAACCAAAAGAGTGGCTTTTGTCGTGACCCGAATGTACGACGAACGACCTGTTGCGGTGAATCAACCTCGAAGAGACAAGCGGCGAGACCCCTTTTGACAACGATCCAAGATTTGAAAGATAATTATGGTGGAATTTTCCCAGGACCATTAAGTCTGCGCTGATCAAACTGTAAAAAAAAAGAAAAAAAATACTGCCACATAAATATTCGGAGTTTATCGGATAAATCCGAATTGACCGAATTTTACCGGCGGGTGTTTTTCGGAGTTTTTCGAATTTATCCGAAAACACGGAGCCCTATTTATAAGCTTCAGGGCCCGAAGAAATTACATAAGAGAGTGGGCAAAGCAACAACATACAAACGAAAAAAATTCACTCCACGAGCAAACTAAACAGGATACAAAAGAGTAAGTATACCCAGCATCTCTTTAAGGTTCTTTACGTCTAGCAGGATTCTTTGGAACCATTCGAACAACTCGCATGCGAAAGTAGCTATGTAAACAACTGATTTCCTCTGTCTTTTCTTTTTTCAGCACTTCAAAAGAAAAGCATTAACGGAGTTTTGCCCGAGATGGGGAAATATTAAGCCAGTTCGATAATATAAAAAATATTTTGTCATGTGTTGATTACTAGCTTGTTTTGTATGCTTGAATGGTATCGTTTAATGACTTTTTATTTGAATACATGATAAGTACGCATATAGTTGTTGCTATATTTTCCTCGCAGTCTCTTGAGATTTCCACTAACCTTGGCATAATATTTGTTTAAATATAATTTTCGTGATACAAACATAGTAGTATACACATTTTTGGGGTTGAACACTTTGAAAAATGTAAATAAATAATTCATATCCATCTCGTTGGGCGCTTTTTCGAAATCGGCTTCCAATGAATAGTACTATGAGACGTTATCCCTAACTGAACATTTATCCTATTTTCGATTTTGTCATCCGGTTGGTTAATTTGTAAATATAACAAAAAAAGAAAATTTTATGTGATATTTTTCAAGCGAGGTATTTATTGAATTTATTTCCTTTCTTGATTTCAAGTGTTTTATGATGACAGGGCTTCTTATCACCCCTAAAATTTTTCATTGATCGTTTAATAATTTCTATAAAACTGCAGTAGCTAAACAGGTGAAATCATTTTACAATCAATGGAAAAACCGCACGCCAGGCACACACCATCCGCTCATCCCGACAGCTATTACCACGTTCTTGCATTAACTTATTCATTCATTCGTTCGTAACTGTCGAAGAAAAAAGTAAGCATAAGCAGCTAGCCGAAGTTACATGCTTGTTATGATATACAATTCTGTAGAATAGGCATTTTAATAGGTTACGTAACACCTGTTGGTAAAGTAGAAAAACACGTTATGGCAGGTCCTGTGACACTACGCCATGTGGAAATACGTCAACTACATATTCAGTAGTGAGAAAGCAGCACGTCAGGCACTCTTCTCTGCAGCCATCATGCTGCGAGGTTTTGCGATCCACTGTAGTCCCCTAAACTTTTCGCAATCCCAATACGCCACGCGGGAAGCCACGTACACTACTCCTTGCCTCCGCCACATCTATCACTAGATACTCAATAGAGAATGAGAGAAAGAGATGTACAGGGAAACAGTAATGCATTAACACATATTGCAACATGGAGATCTACGGACGACAAAGATTTACAAAACGCAGAATTTAACAAGGTGGCCCTCCATCTCCTGCTCATCCGTGTTCTCTCCGTCGCCTTCGTCGTCTGCAACAACCCGTCTTGTACCTACCGTTTCCGGCATCCTTTTCGGCGCCACAGATGGCAATGCACGTTTTGCAACAGGTAAAGAGCTAACACCGCACACCAACACGGATGTCTTTTGCTGAACCAAAGGTTGCTCTGCAGCTTGCTTTCCTTCTTCATAAACACGCTCTTTTCTGACAACGTTTTGACGCTAACGCACAAACAGGTTTGCTAATTTCGCCTAATTAATCACCTTAGCAAGCCGTGGTGGTCGTTTATTAGCCTAACGGAAGGTCGACTGTGAGACCCAGAACACTTTTTTATGTTTTGTCTTGTGTAAGGGAAGCAAAGTGCGAAGTTGCCAGTAGGAACGTCGGAAGCCCACATGGTATGCTCGAAGAGATGGGAGACTTCAGGAGTATTTGCGTGTTCAACATCAACACAGGGTTGCACAAATAGAAAATACCAGAACACTGCGGTATTTGTTTTCTCTACGACCAAGGAAATATGCAATCTTGAATATACTGGCGAAAACCAAAGCAGATGTTCAGGCAACAGTTCCTGCCTGAATATCTGCGCCGTCTAACTCCGTTGATTTAATATCCGGCTAAAATTAACTTTGTCGGAGGAACTGTTTGTCTCTCGTATGCTAGTTTGAAATGGGTTTTTTCACTTTTATTTTGTACGAAGGTCAGTTGGTCCCTCGTATTTTCGCTTCAAATGGTTTTGAATACTTTATATATAACTTTAAACGTTTTCTAACGCGCAAACATAAAGGATAGCCTTCGAAAATTAACGTGTCGGTTATGTCATAAAATTCGGCTAAGAAAACATATCTGTCAAAAGAAAGAAACATTCCTGAAAACATTTATACTACCGTTTTTGAATTGAACCACCTTTACGAGATACGACGCAACTGCCTTGTTATTAAAGGTAATCACCACTGTTTGTTCACTGACAGAACAAGGCCTTTTAGGTTGACATAAAGTGAGGGGCTCATTGTAAAAGGTGTTGTGCAAATCGGCGGCAGCACATATAGTTAACGTCTTCAATAGGTGTGTGCTTTAATATAAAGTTTTACCTTGTAAGATGTCTGTATAAAAAATGTCATTTGTTACATTATTAAGGACGGCTGCCGACGGAGTCAACAGAATCGGCCGAAGGTCTTGCTTCTGGCATCATCTCCCATTAGACGCTGCAGCATTTTATCAAAAGCACACTATACTGTTACCGTGATATCTACCGTGGAATGAATGCTTGATCAACCTATTGGACGATGGCTTCACAAGAACGACCCCCGGTGACTCGGTCTTCTGCGTCGGCGCCCGTCCTGTATGATGTTCCGGATGTTCGTGTGTTGTTTCTTTCTCAGAAAAACGATGATAAGCCTAAAATTCAGAAGGTAAGGTTCGATTAACCAGAACACATCCAATTGGAAATTTGAGCTCTACGAGCTGGCGCCGTTTTTTGAGGCTACTCTTTTAATCATCGGTGCCCCCACTTGCTGAACAATATTGTTTTAGCGATTTCTCGAAACTGAATAGTTTGTAAGGTTGCGCACAAGTTGCATCTCCTGCGGGTTGGAAAGAAGGGCGCTGCGAGGGTGTTTAATTGTCCTGCTCCGATCTGTTTAAACCTCGCCCAGCACAACCCAAGCTTCCACGCTGCGCCGGTGACGCGCTGGAATTTCTGTCACTCTCCGCATTTCAATCGAACCCCACAGTACCTTCGAGCAGTGTCCTAGCAACACGAATTTACAAGAATGTTCTCACCAACATGCAAGGACACATAAGATAGTATGCAAATTCATATACCCTAACCGATGACCGGTACATTTTCTGTAAGTCTGGTACTTTTATTCAACAGTTCGTAGATGAATCCTTGTGTTCCTTATACACTTCAAAAATAAAAGTTATTTGCGTTCACTTTTCTACAGAACGCGAAACAACAAACCACGGGGAAGACTAGGAGAATCCCGGTAATTTACAAAGCTCCGGATATTATTGAACCAAAAATGTGCGAGATGCGCTGGGAAAATATGCATAACGTTTTATTTGTTCATCGTTCCCTGTGCACAACGCAAATTGCAAATCTAATCGTATTATTATTTTTTGCTATTATTCGTTGGGGCTCTTTGATTGCTTATAGTGACTGACTGTCTTCGAGTTCTCCAGGAAGGCGAACTCGCAGACATTTATTTATAGTGTAGGATGCCTCTTGTATCTTTGGCCAGTGGAACATATCGTGGTGGCAAGTAACGTTACTCGCTTACCGGACACTTGTAGCTCGGTGTCCACCGTGTCCGAACCCGACGTGTTGTTGACGAAGCAGGTGTAGAGACCTGCGTCAGTCACGGCCACCTGTTGGTAGGAAGAAGAATAAGGATTCCTTGAAGTGAAGCCAGAAGCAAGAGTATGGGTTATACATGGCTCTCCTACACTATGACTGAGCTTTCATTAAGCATTTTAACCCGACTAATCGCAAAGCTTTAGTCGATTAATCATTTGATTATTCGGTTGCGTTGACTTTGAGGAATACAGTATTAAAGGTTTCAAACTCCAGAGTTTGGTTCGCACTATTTCTATGAAAAATAATATTATTTTAATTTTATCCATCGCTGAAGCTGACATTCAGATAGTGTTATAAATATATGTACACTAGAAAACAACAGTACTGCGTCCTAAAATAAAAATATGAGCGCCAACCGATAAACCAAACATTTTTATTTTCCCGCCAATTTTTAAAAGACCTAACAGGTCAATTAACTGGCTTAAAAATTGTTTTGATTGAAGCATTAGTTAAATAATTGAAAGGTTATTCCATCAATTGCCAGCCGTATTATATGCATCTCATGTATTCCTTTCGAAAGCACCTTGTAACATAGATTAGTTGATTTTAAGTTTGAGAAGGTGGGTTTTGAAATTTTGGAAGCAGTGTATTGTTCTCTGTACCAGTCGTTTTCTTTACGTTTTCGTGCTTTACAGAACGGTGCGACTCATGCCCATTTCCCTCAATAAGTATGAACTTTGATTACGAAAATTCACCAAGGTGGTCATATTTCTCGTTTGATTCTTTGACCAGAATATTGAACCTTGCACTGTCTTGCACATGGTTCCAATCATATTACAAATATGAGGGATTTTCAATGCAGTTTCACCGCGCCGGCCATAGAAACATCACGGTGAAACTTATACAAAGGTCCGACTCACCTACCTACTTTTTTACTGAAAACTAGCTCCGTGTAGAGGGGGTGCGACTTAAGGCTGCGGTCCCACGGCAGCCATCTTGAACAAGACTTTAGTTCAACCAATAGATGGCGACACGTACCCGTGGGGTGGCCGAAACATTGGTTCACAGTGGGATGGCTCGAGCACCATCACGTTCCCCTCGTGGCCTTGCTCGCGCCGCTGCCAGCTGTGCTCAGCTAGCTCAAGTAGCGTGGCCCAGCAAACGGATGTATGCGGAGATGCGGTTCGCAGGTTGTTACGGGCTTTCACAACAAATCTTACCAAGAAGGAATCAAATGTTGATTGACGTGTTAATATTCTATCAATGAAAATTTCTTCTGCAGGAATGCACGCTCAGTAGACTCAATCTTCCAAGACACGAGTGGAAGCGGACATCAAGTCGCGATTTACGGTGCTTACCTCAGCATTTTAATGACGACTAAAATAATGTCACGAAATATTGTGTTTCACGGGGTCCGGCAGATGTTGTAAAGGTTGTTACATTATAGGTTCCCAGAAAACAAACGCCGTTGCAATATTTTCGGAAGTACCGACACACATAATGTTGTAAGTACAGCTTAGGAGGAATATGATGAAAACCATCAGAAGAAATAGGAAGACGTTTATTTGCAATGATGACGCTATGAATGAACGGCGTTTAGCGACGGCAAGTTATGAGCGTTCGGGAATTTATAAGTTCACGTGATTGCTAACTATGGACAGGCTTTTTTGTCGGGAGATGGTGTTGCGGTGATGACCTGATATCGGACGACTCGTCGCAGACGAACATGCAAGTTTCTTCTCAGCGAATGGTAAGTGTCCAGTGTCAAGCACAACACGTGGCTACCGACGTTGTCGACGTTTCGAACACTTACCGCTTTCGACAAAAGTCCTGGCACCTGGGCTAACTTTCTGGAAAGACTCGAAGTCTTCCTTGAGTCCAACGCCATCATGAACAGTAACTGAAAACGATCCACTATTCAATCGGTGGGCGGCGAAGCGTATCCGCATCTGCGGAGTCATGGACGATGCGTACTCTATGTGGTTGGAGGTTTACACGATGCCTGCCACGACGTCCAAACACGTCATTGACGTTCTACTGTCTCTTTTACCTACTTTTGCCCTACCGAAAATACTTTTCTTTGATAACGCGCCAAATCTTGCTTCAAACAAAATAAACAAGTTTTTGAAGAAAAAAAAACCGGCATCAGGCATCACATTAGTGCACCATACCATCCTGCAACTAACGGGCATGCAGAACAGATGGTGTGCGAAATAAAAAAAAGTAAAAGCCGTTTACAACTCCCTGTAACACCGAATTAGAGCGCAGCTCTTGAGGAGGAGGAGGGAAGGGTACTGGGGGGGGGGGGGTGAAGTTACCTGGGGGGGTCACGTGACCTTGGGGGTCACGTGACGATGGCGATGATGTCATTATTGACGTCACTGTTGACGTCATCAGTGACGATGACGATGCGGACTCCGATGACGTCACTGATGACCTCACCGGCATCCGCATCGTCATCGTCATCATCACTGATAACGTCACCAGTGACGTCAATAATGACTTCACCGGCATCCGCATCGTCATCGTCATCATCACGGATGTCATCAGTGATGATGACGATGACGATACGGATGCCGGTGACGTCATCGGCGAGGTCGCGTGACCTCGGCGGGGGGGTCACGTGACCCTGGGGTGTGGTCACGTGACCTCGGGGGTTGTCACGTGACAGGGGTCGCGTTACCCTGGGGAGGGGTCACGTGACCTTGGGGGTCACGTGACCTTGTGATGACCTTGGGGGTCGCGTGACCTTGGGGTGACCTTGGGGGGTCGTGTGACCTTGGGGTGACCTTGGTTACGCCGACGCCGCTCAAGCCGGGAACGGGCCCCTAAGAGCTGCGCTCTAAAAAAAAGCCCTTTTGAAGCTTACGGAAGAAGCAGTTCAGTGAAGAATCGCCAGGTCGTTGTTCCACCAGCAAGCGACGGTCTCATCTTACACGGTAAAAACATCCGCCGAGGCAATATTCAGCGGACGAAGAGCCACACCCCTCGATGTCATGATACCATGGCTTACGAACGAAGATCGAGAGATTGGGAGTAATTGCAGTTTATTCGGTCGGACAACTCGTCTACGTAAGGAATTTCATCGGAAGTCGGGCCTTCCATGTAAAACTTGAGTAGAAAAGGCTCTATGTTGGTTGACCAGAAGGTGTCATCTCTCTGAATACGTTGGATATCAATGCCCTTAAGTGTAAATATAACTAAATCAGAAAACTCTCTTTGTGTATTGTGTAACTGCCCTTGTATTTCATAGTAGAAGCTATGGTGGTGATTTGTACCTTTAGCACCAGGCTCCATTTTCTCATTTTTCGCCTCATACTCCTTTGCGGTTTAAGTATGCTTCAAGAATCTTTTGGAACGGGGACACTTTACGTCAACGAGGCCATTTGTTCCAAGTAGTCAATCAGGGAATTCTGCAAGAAATTCAATCCTCCTTTTAAGGAATAAGCCGCACTTCTGCACAGTGCAGTTGTAAAGCAGCATCCTCATTGATTCTACCATATTCTGTTGCGGGTGAAGAAAGTCTTTGGGTACACGATACTTGAAACAAGTCTGGCACTGTACGTTGTGGTTCGACACCCACTAATGTCGTCGTCCTTATAGAGCCTCATCATTTTATCATTACATCGTCACCTCATATTGCTCTTCATCAACAGTAAGTACAATAGGCTATCGCCATATTACAATCCAAGAATTGAAAAATTGAGTTGTTCAGTCCTTCAACAAGTTTATTATTTATATAATGTCATTACGTTACATTACCTCGAGACGATCGACGTCCATCGCCGATCTTCAAATACTTATACCTGTATATAAATTAGACGCACAAGGGGGGGTCGGTGGCTGAGTGCATGGTGTAGCGCACACCAGCTCGGAGCACTTGGAGTGAAAGCTCGCGCTGCAGAAGCCACCCCGCCCCTGCCCGTTTCGATTTGGAAGAGCAGCGTACCGGCGTGCGGTCGTGTGCATCAGTACTGCATGGTGCACGTTAAAGACGCCAGGTTTGCGGATGTACCGCACTGGCTAAACTGCTCATCTACAGCTGAGAGTCAGACGCCCACTAAGGCGGACTAACTTCCGGCTGTATAAACATACACACAACAATTTGCAATTAGACGCATAATAACAAAGAGCACAGCGTGCCGCCTCTTTCCTTGGATGCCTCTTTTTAAACCAGCGCAAGCTCGCGCGTTCTCTCTTTTGAGACGGTTAGTACGGTCGCACATAAAACCCACGTTTCACCTACCCGGCCGCTTCCTCCTCTCACCATGTGTAGTTGGTTATAACTAAATAAGCTATAATAATAATGTATTATTCATATTTACTTTCAGTTTCAGTCAGGGAGAAGGAGTTTTGCGGGAACTAGAGCAAATAAATGAGCTGCGCTTGGAGTGTCGGCACTCTCTTCCCCGTCAGTGTTGTGAACGGCGCCATTCTGGTGCTTGTGCAGTGCAGGCGCAACTGCCGATCATCAAGATTTAAAAGTGCGACATCCTCAGCATTAGATTTGGTGTTAGGAAGCTCACGTAATGTTGCTTTGCTTTGTCGCACACTGTTTAAAGTTGAGGACGGAAAAGCGCTTCTTGTGATTTCAGATAAAGCTTCAAATAACTGGCAAATATGATTTTAAGCCACAATATGGCCAAGTGTCGCTACTCTGACGCGTAGCTTATCTAATGACACTATTCATGCTCTTGTTCAAGAGGCTTGTAATACCTGGAGGGGCCATGACGTAAGCCCCGTGGATTCCACAAGCCACTACCTTTTGACACCTGCCTCTTCCTCATTGTTCCCACTTGTGCCAGTAATACCCTTGTTATACGGGCGCACTTAACTGCAGTTACGCTAAGCCACAGTTAGCGCACAATACTGGCCGACAACATTCTTTGGCTATGCAGTCAAAGCTATGGGCGAACGTGCGCTTGAGCATCTTGAGCACACATCGAAGCAGTGCACGAGCGCTCTCCACTTCTTCTGAAATAGCCAGGGGGGTAAAGGTGGGTGAGGAGGAGTGGCAAATCCCGTGCGCCGACATCCTGGGTCCCGAGTGAACGATCGCAAAAGAGAGCGACAGAACACGAGAGAAAGAAAGCAACGTTGCCATGGTAAACACGAAGAGTGAAAACTCTCAGCAATATAAACAGTGATAATTTAACGTTGTAAACTAAATCCTGAGCTATTCTAACGCTTATAAAAAGCAATAAAGTCATTACGCTGCATTAACTTCCCTTCTGTCGAAATCTCGGAAATCTGGTGGTTGCGCAGTTTCGTATTCCTCAACCGCGCCCAGCCGCGCCCCACCAGCGAAGCCGGGTATATGGTTTAGTTTAGCGTTAACGCGAGGCCCTACATCTGCGCGCTATGCAAAAAGAAACCTTCGAAAAGAACGCGAGTATCTTTCCACCGGTAAGTTCGTGGATTATTGAAGTTCACGAAACTGCTCTGATGATGTAACCGTGTTTGGGACCCAGAGGGTCTGCCTGCATGGTGCGCCGCTTGCGGCAGCCAGAATGTATGGGAAAATGGCGGACTTTTTCCTCTAGATTTAGTATATGACCTCTATGGAAATAGCTGTCTGAGAGTATAGTGCGGTGACTGTGGTGCCACGTAACAGCAGTTAAAGCTGAGTTAACCACGGTTAAGGATGCTCGTGTAACAGGGGTATAATTAGCTACGGTTCAGAGTAACGACAGTTACTCTGAACCGTAGCAACCATGATTTAAGCCATATTGTGGCTTAAAATCATGGTTGCCAGTTACCTGAAGCTTTATCTAAAATCACAGGAAACGCTTTTCCGTACCCCACAAATGTTTAAACAACCCGCGACAGAGCATTGCAATATTCCATCAGCTTCCTAGCACCGCATCTAATGCTGAGGAAGTCGTACTTTTGGATCATGACGATCGGCAGTTGCGTTTGCTCTGAACAAGACCCAAAATGTCGGCGCCCAAAACAATTTCGGGGAACGGAATGCCGATACTTTAAAGCTCATTTAGTGACTCTAGACATGAAGTGAACTCGGGTGTATTATTTTCCTCTTCGTCTTTATTGTTTACTGATTTCAATCATATCGAATAATGAACACATTATATCACGCTACACGTGTGCAATTATTTGTCTTAGATTTATTAATCGGACCCAGTACTTAAACCATTCATTTTTTTATAGTAAATCTTCCAATATATTTTTTAAATGTGAAGGTAAAAAGACGCGGAGATTGATGATGATACAGACGCCAACGCCGCCCTCGGAAATTTTTTGAACACTAGAAATCAGCAGTTTGTCTGCCATCCGCCAGGTAGCGCAACAAAACACCCAAACAGTTTTTAATTGTTTTTAAAATTAGCTAAGCTCTATACCTATTAAGAAACCAAATCAAGATCATTGTGAAAATTGAATACATCGCAATGTATATCTATTCCAAGCAATAAATGTTATTAGATGCCAATAAATCTGTTTGATGTCCAAAAAAGATATGCATAAAAAACAGGTAAGTTTGAAGGGCTCCTGGAGCGTTATGACTTTGAAAATGAAAAAAAGCGATCGTCCACCTCTTGGGCAACCATTGTAGCTCTAAATGTTATAAAAGATTTTGTCATAGCTTAATTATTTCCTCAGCGGCATTTGAAGTACCATGACTCGAAGCACAAAAAAGTGCTATGTTTGATATAAAATATCTAAACAAAAAAATTTTACACAACATTAAATTTTTTCTGCATATTACCAATTATAAGCACTACATCTGTAGCTAATTTCATTGCCCTAGCTCTTGTCATTAAAAACATATTGGTGCTGAAAAATATCAATTTTAGGGCAATATTTGGAGGGATTAAAAAGACAAAGTAGTGCAAATACCAAAAAAGTGTATCGTTACATTCTGCTCCGACATCATCTTAACAAAACTGCCATATTGGAACCGTGCTATCTTTAATGGATCGTTCATAAAACATGAACTAGCGGAGCAAGTGAGGGTCCGCGCCATCATATTCGCAACGCTACAAACACGCATGAACAGTAAAAACCAACACATACATAATATCAAATGAAAGAGTTTTGCATTGCCTTTCGAATGACATTAATCCCACAAAACAGTTTTTAAAAGGAGATGAGTAATGACCTGCCAAAAAGTACCTAAACTGTCACATTCAGTGGGACCGTAGCCTTAAGCAAACCTGCGACTTTTAGAGTGGAAAATACTGTAATGCTACGGTAAACCACTTCTATATGGGGTTTAAACGGGAGATGAATACTGGTAAATGCACTTCAGTTATAATGTGACACAATACGTGCACAGCAGTGTATAAAAAATGGTTTTCAGACTGAATTATTTTGGGTGTGTAAAACCATAAATAAACGCTGAAGTACAACAAAAAAAAAAGACAAGCATTAAAGAAAAAAGTTTCCGGTTCTTGTTTCTCTAATATAGGATCGCAGGGCGAAACCCCCCCCCCCCCAAAAAAAAAAAAAAAAGTCTAAGTAGGCTTTTACGCCAAATGACAAAGGCGAAAAAAACTCGATACGAATAAAAACTAAGTGTGAAATTTAAAATTTGAAATCACGATAAACTTTCTTTCATAATGCTCAATTCAACATCGAGCAGCACACACCTTTTTCAATTGAGAAGGTTTTTTCATGCCAACTACTGAAACGGTTCATAGCTTGTTCATAGCCTGCCGCTAGATGTGTTCGAAAGTGATTTTCGCTCCCTCATTCCTATAGACATTCTGGACATATCAAAATTATTATTTTTCTTACAGCTCCTCAAAGAAATTAAACTGGCGGCGTTCATAAACACGGTCGACCGCGGATTCCAACAAACGGGGAATTTCTCTCATTTTCCACTTATTGCTTGCATGTTTTGTTTTTTCTCGATTCACAATTTCCACCGCGTCCCAGTGCATCTGTGTAGGGGCGTCGTGTTGCAATCCACGCTATACACCTACCTAGGCGTGCGGACTCTCCATTTCCAGCCCATTCGAACGCGACGTATACAAAACAAGCAGGAACAAAAAGCCGATATAAACGAAACGTGCCGTTTTATTTTGTTCGCTCGCTCGCAAAGAGAGGTTCGTCTGGGCCGGAATCCGGAATGCAATATCCGCGTCAGGACACGGACCCCCACCTGATGAATGACGAGCGTCCCGTCGAGCTGGAGGAGCCGGGGCCCCGGGAGAAGGGGCACCGCCTGGCCCCTGACCTTTCGGAACCACTGGTACACGGGCACGGGTTCGCCCTGGGCCGCGCAAGGCAGCTCGGCTGACAGTCCCTTGTCGGCGCGGACCTGCCGTCGACTGTCCACTATGCGGGGCGACATGGCGAACGACTCTGCAACGGGAAGAAATTAGTAAAAAAAAGTGTGATATGTATGTTCCCAGTTTTTTTCTAGGTAATGCGGATAGAAACCTTGGGAAATCAGTAGATGCTTAGCGAGTAGACGTGTGGACGTGGCCGTGCTCATTTTGTCGACGCCGCACGCGAGTCGGACTTTTAACCCAAGGAGTATGTTCAGACATAGCCTCCTATATACTGACAAAGCCTGGCTGAACACCACGAGAAGCGGCCGCCGAAATGGAAAAGGTGGAGCGGCATACAACGAACGAGAGGAGAGCCACGTGACTGGCGCCCCGCTGCGGCGAGACGCCGTAACACGCTTGTCCCGAGCGAACAGGCGTGTTTCGGGTCCTCGCCGCTGCAAAAGCTGTCCGCTGACATCCAGGTTCACCGAGAAATGTCTCTTTGATGCTCTTTGCTACCAGATACTCGCGCTCCAATTCTGCGACCGGGCACTCTAAGGCTCCGTCGTCGAACTGCTAGGCTTTGTGAGTATAGAGGAGGCTATGGTTCAGCACACGGCAGGTACCGGAGATACCCGACACCACCCAAGAGCCCCGGTTGCGCGGCGAAATAAACAATTCATTAACCCCGGGGAGGTTCCCGGAGAAGAACGAAAGAAAGCGCTGAACGCCGACGTCCGGCGTTTGCACGTGAGACACTGCGCGCGGAGAAAACGACGCCCTGCCTCGCTCTGACTGGAGGGAGACAGAGGCACCTAGCCTTCGGGACTACCCAGTAATCCCTCTAATGAGAGCTTGGTGCTCTGACGTCCTCGTGAGTTGTCGTATCCTCCTCCCCCTCTCTTTACTTCTGCATAAAAGCGCCGCGTTTGTACATTCTGTCTAGTACAATGAAGGTGCGATAGCACGAAAGGGCGATTAACAGTTGCGTTGAGTCCGACCAAAAGCGAGGGTTGCTATGACAACAGCTGCGTCGGCTCCAAAAAAAAGGTGGGGGGGGGGGGGGGGGGGGGAGGCGGGTAAAACCGGTTTTGTTTGAGCTGACGCAGCGGTTGCCATACCAAACCTCCCCCTCGGTCACAATCACCACAAGGGCGTGAGCAAGCCTTAGGACGCAGATCTTACCCTTGTACGCGGCCCGACTTCCTACGCACCGTAGCAGGGGAAAGGGGAGCGTTCAAACATCGGTTACCACCCCCCTCTTCCCCTCCGAGCTGTGCAACGCCATTGGTTGCACGCGCTATGACGTCAAACCAACAGTTTCTCTGCGTTGCTCGCACTGTATCTCTCATGGCCTTGCTACGGTGCGATCAACAGCAACACGAGCAAGCAAGGTTAGTGCAGGATGCAGGCATTATTGACTTAAAACGAAAGAAACACACAAGAGGACGAATTACTAATTTCTTCCCGTTGCTTCCCGTTGTGTGTTTCGTTTGTTTTAAGTCAACGTAGATCACCAACACGCTCAAGTCTTTAATTAGCACTCATAAATTATCCGTTAAAACAAAAACTAAAATATACTCCTTGAAACGCTTGTTTTGGAAAGTGACCGGGCTGAATGGGCTTTTACGAGGGATTGCCAATTCCCATACGCAAGCTAGCAGCCGCAGCCTTCAGTCATTTTTGGTTGCACTTACGGGAAGACATGCCCAGGAAGTAGCATTGAACAGCTAGAATTTCCTCTTCAAAATGTCTACACGAAATTAACCGATTTGAATGGTCACCTTTCAGGGTTTGTCAACGCTTATGCGTAGTGGTAGCAAACGTGCGTAGTGATGGCAAACGTAGTGGTCCGCAAACATGGCAGTTCGCCATTTCGATGGCGCTTATGATACGGTATGTGGAGTCAGTAGGGAGTTTTCGTAGACCGCGCTGCCCCCTCCGCTAAGCGTTCCGCAACAAAGTTGCTACTGCGCCTGCGCTCCGATAGCCTTGACTGTGGAGTTCCCGCTATCGCAGCAGGTTGCGGAGGGCTTTGCGGGACGGCGAAAACGATCTACGAAAACTCCCTAGTAACGGTGTCTGGCCGGGGGCAGTCTAGCGTTTTAATTGAAAGACGCCTCAACTTTGCTCTACATTTCTTTTCGTTCAATCTGCATAAAAAAACAACTAAAAACAAATGTCAAACTATCAGCTTAGGGCAAACACCCATAATATTCAAGGAAATTTGAGAAAATCTTAATGTTTTTTTAAGCTGTTAGTCTCGACTAGAACTAGCTAGAGCTGCCTCTTCTATACAGCGCGTTGCAGACTGCCCAATCACGGAAGCGAATATTAATTGCGCGATAAGATTGATGCGTCCGACTCTGCTAAAACTTTATTTGACACTTTGATTGATGTCTGCTTCAAGCAATAACGCTCTTAATAATTTCGGAGCGATAAAATACAAATAAAAGTTGTGGACATTGGCAGCCTTAAACACGACTCCAGCCCCAGTGTGCTAAATATATTCGCTAGCTGGCTCGTAATCCCTTAAGCGCTAGGCGGAGTTAGTTTGGCGGGCGTATAGGTTTAAACAGTAATCATACATATTGATGATTGATGCATCTGTCTGAAATTAAAAATATCTCACATTAATGTATGGCAATATGCAGAAAGCTTTTTTCACGGCATTCAGAATTTCTCGGTACTTAATAATTATTTACCGTCAGGAGTGAGCGTTTAAGTTAGAGTTGCTTTGAATCCAAACAGACGGAGCTGCTCACTTTCCTGGGTGCGGTTCTTTATAGCTGGCATAACGCGTTCACGGAAGTGCCCATCTACGGTTATTTGAACGTTAAACAACCTGGCGTGTTCGGAGTAAACAAACTGGACGAATCGATGACCACTCGAAGCCTCAGACAATATGCCAAAAATTCATGTTTTCCGGATAAACCACGAAAAACACGACGATAGATTGGAAACTTGGGCGCTGCTTGCGAAAGCCGACCGGTTCCCAGACGCGACGAGACAGAGTTGCCCATCTTTGCATGATGGTAATTTATCTTGAATAAAAAATAAAGGAAAACATAAAAATACAATTTTGAGTACGAAATAAAAATAACGCAACATTAAGACTTTGCAGTAAAGGTTGCAGCTGTATTTTGATATTCCGATCAGATCGTCATATCCAGGATTGCCTTTTATGAGGAATATAGCCGACACTCAATTTTAATATCGGTTTGAAGGGCACGGGATGCCCTCGTCTTTTCTAAACCTCGCCTCGTCGCCTCTTCTTTTCTTTTCTTTCTCAAAACGGCGCAGAGGGTGCAGAGAATGAGGCTAGAACACTTTGTGTGAATGATGATAACTAGGCCCTAGATTTCGCGGTGTTTTTTATAAAAACAAAATAGCCGAAAGGTTTTTGGTGTTTATTTTTACTTAGAATTTCAACGCAGTTTAGCAATATTTTTTTTTATTTCTTTGTACGGAAGCTAAAGCACTTATTATCGGTGAGTAAAATCCTAAGAGACTAAGAGTTCAGATCTCATTTACACTTTTTATTCGCACTTATAACGTTTCACGCATATCATAAGGCGGCAATACTTGCCAAACAGGGACCACATGTCCGAAGGTTGGAGGAAGTCTGTGTACTCCTCAATGCAATCACTCAGACCATTCGGATTCTTTTTCTTTGCTACTATTGCGCTGCGTGCTGTCACTAATATTGGATTGTTCTTAACCATAGTGTTTCTACCACGAGCATGGCAAGTTGTACTTGCTGTTTTTACTAGGTAGGTTAAAGCGTTAACGATCGCCAGTTTAGTCACGAAGAGAGTTGCTTAGCGCTGACCTGAACAAACCAGACATTCACATTGTGAAAAGATTAATAAGAAACAGTGCAAAATGTGCACAAGCACATGCAGAAAAAGGACACAAGCACAGAGTTGTATTGGGGTGTATCTTCTACTAGTGTTTGTACCGTTTTATCGATTTCTATCTAAACACCTACCCTAGCAACACCCTTTGATACATTGGTACAATCGGTGGTGACCACATACCTAACATTACTCTCATGCCATAGACTTTCGAAATGAAGGATTTCACTCATTCCCGACTGGCAGAATTCTTGATTTGGGGAAAATGTACGTACCTAACAAGCGCCTAAAAATAAACGACCTTGAAAAAAAAAAATAACCAGCAAACATTTTAGACCGCAGCTCTTAGGCACCCGTTTCCTGGTTGAGCGGCGTCGCCATCGGCGTCGGCATCGGCCTAAAAGCACGTTGCATTATGGGAAAACTCCAAATTTAGCGAGAAAACATTTCTGTTAAATTTAGTGGGGAAAATTTTCCGCTGAATTTAGCGGGTAAGGTTTTGCGTAGAACTGCTCCCAAAAAGCACGAGAGAGCGCGAGTGTCACTGCTGTCACCGCGTAACAACTTCTGGCTGACGACGCTTCCGTGAACTGTCACATCGGAGGGTGACCTGCAGCAGAACAGGCGTCTGCCACATCATCCACCGCTGCTGGGACACCGCCAGGATCGCGACCGGCGACAGCATGGCACATCTATGACATCAGTAGACGGAAATTGAAGGGCTTTTTTTTTTTTTCTTTTTCTTTGAATGGGTGTTTCTCGTTTTAATCGAAAACAACGTGGTATTTCTGACGCTGGTGAATGTTCATTGCTATTTTTAGATTTATTTTGTAAAAACCAGAAAAATTCTACACCCTAGTCATTACGTGTCTTCGACACGTGACGGGTGCGAGCAGGTGCAGCAGGTGCAGCAGGTAACGCGCTACTTGTACCTAGATACTTGTTTGCAGTAACAATGTCATGATTTGGTTAATAAAACTTTTCAAAGCTGCGCGCCTTCTTGTAGTTACAAAGCCAATTATCGGAGTCTGTCATTGCTTGGGCGCGCACAGTGAATATGTATGGCAGACTTGTACGTAATCCGTTACATGTAACGAAATTACTTGTAATCCCTTACATTTAACGGTAATTTAGTAACGGAATAATTACATACTTTCTAGAGTAATTTTAAAGTAATTCCCTTACATTTTTTACGTAACGGATTCCTTGTAATCCGTTACAAT